CTTTCTACAATTTAACAAAATGTTTGATGACGATGAAGTCAATAAGATAAATCCTTTATAAAAACATTGAACCGTTTCGTAACGATAACATGCTGAGTATATCAGGAGGGGAGGTGTGTGAGTGTGTGTGTGTGCTTTCAAATCGACAACCAAAAGAAATTTAAACGAAAATATAGTGATAACAACAATCAATGAACGGGAATATCTTGGCAGTTTAATCTCCCCTCTTGTCGGTTAAAATATCTTTTTTTTCGTTTTTAGTTTTGTATCTTGTTATTTTTTTGTATTTTTTTGTAATTTGGAAATTCAAGTTTGTATTTACTTTAAAGAGGAACTCACGTAAAACATGAAACATTTACTGCACGACCGCACATTTTTCAAGACTGCACCCCTTTTATGTTGGTGTTACTGTTTACTTTTTATCTTTTTATACCCACCATCAAAAAAGATGGGGGTATATTGATTTTGTCATTCCGTTTGTAACACATCGAAATATTGGTCATAGACCCACAAAAGTATATATATTCTGGGTCCTCATTAAATTCTAAGACGATCTAGCCATGTCTGTCCGTCTGTCTGTTGAAAGCACGAAGAGTCCGAATGGAAAGAGTTAGAGGGTTGAAATTTCACATAAATATTTCTTATAGGTAAGGTTTGTTTGGTATTGAAAGTGGGCAATATTGGTCCACGTTTTCGGATAGCCCCCATACAAGTGGCCCCTCGAAAAGCAGCTTTAATTCGACATAAGTAAGTTTCTTATGATCAAAAATCACCGTGCAAAATTTTATGAGGATCGGTCCATAATTGACCCTAACCCCCATATAAGGTCCCCTTCAGAAAATTACTTTAACGCTCATTACTGGCTTAAAAATACTAGTATATAGATGAAATTCGACATAAGTAAGTTTCATACGAGTCAAAATCTATCTAAAAAATTTTATGAGGATCGGTCCATGATTGACCCTACCCCCCATATAAGGTCCCCTTCAGAAAACGACTGCAACGCTCATTAAAAATACGAGTGTAGCGATGAAATTCGACACAAATAAATTTAATACGAACCAAATTCTGTCTACCAAATTTTATGAGGATCGACCCATAATTGACCCTACCCCCCTATATAAGGTCCCCTTCAGAAAATTACTTTAACGCTTATAACTGGCCTAAATATACGAGTATATAGATGAAATTCGACATAAACGCGGTTTGATGGTGGGTATATAAGATTCGGCATAGCCGAATATAACACTCTTACTTGTTCGTATTATTTTTTGCTTTCAAAATAAATAAATGAGTTTTCCAAGGGGTTAAGAACGACTTTTGGACACATTACAACAAGTGTTTGGTTTAGATACTCTTATATTTGAATATCCCAAAGACTATAGAATCAGGAGTTTCTCGTGATCGGTGAATGAATCATGAAATCAATCAACAAAATTCTTGGGAATCCGAACAATTCTTAACATGTCACCAACCCAACAACTAATTCAAAACATTCCCCCAATTTCTCCCTAATGGATGGCAAACTTTAACTAGTGGCATTCAACAAAAAACACTCCACAAAGAAACTTTCAACTTTAAGCAAATAAAACGGTTTCTACAAAAACTAACGGAGGGACAGACAGACATATTATTACATTCTGTGGCTACTAAATTATCTTTTTTTTTCGTTAGCAAAAACTAAGGGGAAAAAAGTAACAACTATCAAGTGGTTAAATGGCAACAGTAGAAGACCAAAAAAAAAATCATTTAGAAAAAATTTCAACTAGCAAAGGGGTCGTTAGTTTAACAGTTGCTACAATCAGTTTTGTCGGTGAAGTTTTGTCTTTTATAGGAAATCTATACAAAAAAAATATGCAAAGAGTAAAAATAATACAAAATACTTAAATATTCAAGCAAGTATAGTTGGAGGCATAAATAGTTGTTTGAATAATTAAGGAAGTTCATTCAAGACTGTTTAAGGTTAAATTTTTTGTTTAATTCTTACTACCCACTATTTCGCCAATAAATTAGTTAAAGCTATAATGGGTTGTGATTTTAGCGGCTCAAATTATTTGGACTTCGTTTTTTAGTAGTATTTTGGTAGCCTTTTAAATTCTTCTTTAGGTTTCTTTGTAGCTTCCAGAAAAAAAATTTTCAATGTATTTAGGGAGATATTTATAATGTCGCAATGTTTGAAATCTGAGTTGAAATTTGTTGTTCCTATTATGAATTAGGTCCTTCTGGAGCGGAAATCCATGCACCCGTAGCACATGTTAACCTCAGCGATGGTGCTACCAATACCTATTTAACTGTTAGACTTCTAAACGTCATTCCTTAGAGCTCTTTGATTGGGCGTCTGACCAGAGAACATAATATAGTACTGCGGAAGTCGATGGCGCACAGCTTTCATCTTTTGCCTGCTATTGGCTGAGGTACGTTTGGAGTTTACGTGGCTGTGATTAAAGCCGAAATCGCAGAAAGAAAATGTTGTTTAAACCTTTCACGCACAAAGCTCAAAATCGAGAGAAATTTAAAAAAAATCTTGGGACACAGGTGTCCCGTATACGTGACAGAGTTAAAAGCCGGTCTAAGTTCAGTACAGTTTCTATTGAAAAGAATCCCTCTATGAAGTTGGGTACTAAATGTTGGGTATGACTTGACAACACAAGGATCAGAAAACATAATTAATCAGGGGTATGCAGAACTAACCCCAATCATATACCCAAATTAATATGCCGGATATTTTTCTCTATGTCTTACAACAGAGTTCTTTGATGGGGTTAAATATGATGGATCTGTTATCGTGAAAATCCCCTTCTTTTTCATGGTATTTATGGCTTACTCTGTCTCTGTTTTATTACCGTGTGTCCTCTTGGGCTTACTCACCCAAATGTTTATTGATCAAGATCATACTTCTGTCTACTAAATTCGTCTCTAGGTACTGTTTCCAAATCAACAGAGGTTGTGTGGTTATTGTCCAGAAATGCTTTTGACATGGTCTGATGATAGCCGGGGAGGAAGAGGTCTAAGAATCAAATACCTAAACAACGTGCTGTGTATGGATCCGCAACACCTGTGCACAAAAATTTTCACCTACGATTTCTTTGGAGGTCACAGTAGCGGTTTCGCAATTTCTTTGATATTTGAACCGTCAACCTATGCCAGTTCACTTCTAGTTCACTTCTAGTTCAGTTCTAGTTCAGTTCTAGTTCAGTTCTAGTTCAGTTCTAGTTCAGTTCTAGTTCAGTTCTAGTTCAGTTCTAGTTCAGTTCTAGTTCAGTTCTAGTTCAGTTCTAGTTCAGTTCTAGTTCAGTTCTAGTTCAGTTCTAGTTCAGTTCTAGTTCAGTTCTAGTTCAGTTCTAGTTCAGTTCTAGTTCAGTTCTAGTTCAGTTATAGTTCAGTTATAGTTCAGTTATAGTTCAGTTCTAGTTCAGTTCTAGTTCAGTTCTAGTTCAGTTCTAGTTCAGTTCTAGTTCAGTTCTAGTTCAGTTCTAGTTCAGTTCTAGTTCAGTTCTAGTTCAGTTCTAGTTCAGTTCTAGTTCAGTTCTAGTTCAGTTCTAGTTCAGTTCTAGTTCAGTTCTAGTTCAGTTCTAGTTCAGTTCTAGTTCAGTTCTAGTTCAGTTCTAGTTCAGTTCTAGTTCAGTTCTAGTTCAGTTCTAGTTCAGTTCTAGTTCAGTTCTAGTTCAGTTCTAGTTAGTCAGTTCTAGTTCAGTTCTAGTTCAGTTCTAGTTCAGTTCTAGTTCAGTTCTAGTTCAGTTCTAGTTCAGTTCTAGTTCAGTTTAGTTCTAGTTCAGTTCTAGTTCAGTTCTAGTTCAGTTCTAGTTCAGTTCTAGTTCAGTTCTAGTTCAGTTCTAGTTCAGTTCTAGTTCAGTTCTAGTTCTAGTTCAGTTCTAGTTCAGTTCTAGTTCAGTTCTAGTTCAGTTCTAGTTCAGTTCTAGTTCAGTTCTAGTTCGGTTCTAGTTCAGTTCTAGTTCAGTTCTAGTTCAGTTCTAGTTCAGTTCTAGTTCAGTTCTAGTTCAGTTCTAGTTCAGTTCTAGTTCAGTTCTAGTTCAGTTCTAGTTCAGTTCTAGTTTAGTTCTAGTTTAGTTCTAGTTCAGTTCTAGTTCAGTTCTAGTTCAGTTCTAGTTCAGCTCTAGTTCAGTTCTAGTTCAGTTCTAGTTCAGTTCTAGTTCAGTTCTAGTTCAGTTCTAGTTCAGTTCTAGTTCAGTTCTAGTTCAGTTCTAGTTCAGTTCTAGTTCAGTTCTAGTTCAGTTCTAGTTCAGTTCTAGTTCAGTTCTAGTTCAGTTCTAGTTCAGTTCTAGTTCAGTTCTAGTTCAGTTCTAGTTCAGTTCTAGTTCAGTTCCAGTTCAGTTCTAGTTCAGTTCAATTGTAGTTTAGTTCTAGTTCAAAATAACGTTTGAAAATTATTTCATTTAATTATCAAAGTTCTTGATACGCCGATTTTGATTGACGAAACCGTCAAAAAGACAACCATTGTTATCATTTCAACTACTAATCATTTCTATGAAGGATTGTTGTCATTATGACAACGCATTGTTGTATTGATACCAACGTTTAACTTTCCTCTCTAGATTAGTCTCAATCTAGATTTTTGTAGTTGTAGGTACCCTTAAACTTGTGTCCATTGAGAATACGTACCGTCGTACTTCATTGGAAGTGCAAATTTTTCCAGCAGGAAATCTGCTTTAGATCAGTTTTAATTTTTGTCTTAATGTACTTTTTCCATATTATTAGAGAACAGTTGAAGCTTAGAGTCCAAAATTCTTCACCAAAATACCGTGTAAATAACATTTGATACTAAAAATGGCCAAGTTATATCCAACTGAAAAGATACAACACATAAAACAAAACGATTCGAATAGTTATAGAAAATTTTAGAATAAGTATCACTCAATCCTAATGGGACTACTTAGTTACAGAACTAAAAACTACAGTTTAATTTAAAATGAAATTTTAAAAATCCCATACTCTATATAAATCCTTTATTAAATGTTTCAATCTCTTTTCTTAAATTACAGCCTCAGTATTACCATTAACTCCTTTAAGACGAACATCTCCACTAAATAGCATCTAAATTTTCCAGCTTTAAAATTTACCAGGATAGCATAAATAAATCTTAGAAAAATGTTTGTTAAAAGATTTGTTGAATTCAGCCATAAATATAAAATCATACGTGGTATGATTTCCTACGGATTACTATATCCCTGTGGTTCTTTGGCCGAACAGACTCTGATAGAGAAGAAGACATTTAAGACGTATGATTGGAAGAAATGTGCCAAGTAAGCGAAAATTATTTTGTGCTTTAAAATCGACGACTTTAACAACACTTTCTGTATAGATTTAGTTTATTTGGTTTTTTCTTTATGGGTCCAACAATCTATGCCTGGATGCGTTTGGCCAGCATTATGTGGCCACGCACCGACATTAGGTCCTCAATGTGTAAAGCGATAACAGAGCAAGTAGCCTATGATCCAATGGCGATAAGTACATTTTTATTTACCATGAGTTTAATGGAGGGTAAAACCATAGAGGAAGCTAGACGAGAGGTAAGTGTAGATATTTGTTTACATTTTTTTTTCTGGAGCAGCTCTTAAATATAATATTATTATTGCCTTAAGTAGCACGAGTAAGTATGTACTGATACTCGTAGGGGCACTTGTGTTGATTTATGTGCATAAAAAATACCACCCAATATAATTTTTATTAAATTAACAAGGTTCTGTTGTACTTGTAGTATTTTTGCTTAAGTAGTCTACTTTTGTTTGAGCTACTTTTTGAAGACATTTTTGTTGAAAATGAAATATGTACTAAACTAACTGACTGTCTGACAGACGGACGGATGGACGGATGGTTGGTCTTATAGAATATTTTAAGAATAGTAGTTAATTGTACATTGAATTATTTTGTACGACATTTAAATTCATATCATGTTGGAATTATTTGTTTTTTATTTCTGCTGTGTTCTCATTTTTGTAATTTTTAGTTCAAGTATGTAATATTCCGTGTTTGTATGTTATTTCTTAAACACACTTAAACGTTCAACATTTCCTACAGTGAGTGCCTCAATTCAAAAATTCACATCCATAAATGTTTTTCTACATTTATAGGAGAATAAAGACTATGTTTGTTTAAGTGAGAGGTGGTGGACAGTGGTTTCTAAAGGACCAGTATCTCGATTTTCCAAATATATTAATGTAAATACTAGAATATGTTTCTTCAGGAGTCGAAAAATCTGGCATCGTTGCTTACTCACCATCCAAAAAGTTGTCATTCCCTTTCTAAGTCAATTAACTAAATAGCAACGCCCACCCGTTTGTGTATTAAAATCTCGATATGACCCAAAAGAAAGAAGCTAGAAGGCTGAAAATTTCCACCAATTTTGTCTATTGATAATATATAACTAGACTATAAGGGTCTCAAGTGAATCCCGGGAATACACCCACAAATATATTGCTTATGTTGCAATCGTTAAGATATAGTATATAGGTTAGTTTTAGACGTGCCTGTTCTTTTAGCAGACCCAGATATTTTCCGAAACTCTCAAGCTCTAATACCAAATAGGTCAAACAATTAGAAAAAAAGTCTGGACGAATCTGTTGCTACTGAACAGACCCAAATATTTTCCGAAACTCTGAAGCTCTAATACCAAATAGGTCAAACAATTAGAGAAAAAGTCTGCTGAAATATGTTGCTACTAGAATGGTACTAATCAAGGGAACAAAACGGCCAAGAATGTTTAAGTGGATTAAATTGATTATAGCACCAGCCAAGAGGATATTATAGTGATATCGATTAATTAAGAGAACTATAACCGATTAATCTTCCAGAAGAAAATTCTTTATCAGATGGACACCATGACATTCTCGGATAATCAGAAATGAAAGAGTGAAATCACTTGTTGTGCATTGAGCTTGAAAGATTTAAAATGCTGAATACAAATCCGTATTCGGTGCAACCAGAACAGAATTAAAACATGGCCAGGAGTATCCTAAACGCCCTCTTCGAATAATGGAACGATGGGTAAAAACTTGAGAAAATATCTCACTTTCCGAAAAAGTTTATACCGAGAAATTCTCCCAAATTCTAAGAAATTTCCGTGAAACTTTTCATGAAAAAATCTCTCAATTTCTAAGAAATTTTCCATATATAAAATTGGTGGCCCAGAACACGACTCATTAAGCTTTTTCTTAAAATTTTAAGCCTCCCGCGAGTTACACTTGAGGTTACTCACATTATTATAAATGACGGTTAGGAAGATTTACAGGTGCAAAAACTTTACATCCTGTTAATGGATCCTTAAGCGTGGCTAGCTTATAGAGAGGACTCTATGAGACGCAGAAGATTGTGAAACCTGGTCGTCGAAATTTAAACCAAAAGCCAGATAGCGGCTATTTTTTGTCTTCCTATATGATATGGTTTTCCAACCTCCTTAGAAATTAAACTAGTTTTATGACGATTATTAGATCATATTTGACTCTGGGATCCCTAAGAGGTCTCCTCAAAATAATACATAGCGATAAAATTTGAAAACCAAAACCAGTTAATCAAAGTTCATAAGGATCGGGTCATTAACTCCTCTTGGAGAAAAACAATTTATTGATGTGGCTTAAAATCATTTAAAGATTCATAAAGGACCTTAGATTTATTTGACTAATTTTCATCTCCTGTGTATTCTATTGTACTTTCGAAATTATTTTTACGAAGACCCAAAAAGTATATAATAAATATTCGGATCTAAGACCGATATCTGATGTACTACAAATGGAATTACAAAATCAATAACTTTTTGAAATTTTTCTAATCAAATTTCTTACTTTCTGTTTGTAAAAATGTTGTGTACCTTATTGGAATGTATTCCCCCCAATTCTGATGTTTTCCAATTTCCTTCAAATAAATCTGCAGACCCAAACCACTGTCATACACATTTTGCCACTAAAATGTCATTGTTATTGTAAGCGTCATCACCATCAACAAGCACAACAATATCACCATCAACATTGTCGACGTCGTCGTCGTCTTTCTCCACTTCATCATCAGCAACAGCAGTAGAGGCAACAACAGCAACAAAACAATAATATACCATTACCTCACTGAACAGTCAGACAGGCACTAACTACTCATATTCAAGCAAATAACGAATCATACAAAGATAAGTACGCAAACACAACAATTGTCAAGCAGTAACCATTCCAATGCATATGATGATGATGAGAATACATCTTCTATCTAACCAGACAAATACACAATCAGACAGACATGCCAGCCAGTGAGACAGTCACCACAGCAGTTAGTGCGTCACAATGCCAGCCATTTTAACTAGTCATCCATTCAACAATCAAACAAGGCAAGACGCAACGCAACATCAGGCATACAAGTAAGAATCATTGACGACGATGTTTGCTGTTTTTTTTTTGTATTTTAGTTGCCTTCTTCATACTTGACGCCGCGTCAATTGTCTTCTTGAGCTTCAGTTGTTTGTTTGCTGCGTTCTTTTTTTATTTCGAGGATTTAAGAAGAGACAGTGGGATGATGAACTTACGTTCTTGCTGCTGTTGCTGATACTTGTACAATGTACAAGTACATCCATATATAATAACAATATTATTAAAGAAGCTTTTTTTAATGTGTGTTGTCGATTCAATGTGCTGTGGTGCTTGTTGACGCCGTTTGCAATTTAAATTGGAGCGCACATACGATTGAATATTGACATACAAGAGATACTACTTAGTTTGTGGTAGAGTGTTGGGTTAAATGAAAAGTACTTTTCTGTGGAAAATAAATTCTTTATAAGTACCTTTATGGAACAATTAAGGGAAAATCTTCAATACATCCATATCTAACTAAGATACAGGATACTGTTATAGAATCTTAGGCCACTCAACTTTAATAGCAAAATTCTATACGAATCCTGATTTCCTTTTGGGGATACATGCATCGGTTACCTCAATATACTAGGCCATAGGGTAACATTCTTTGTATGAAAGCCTCGCAAATGGTTAAACTAGAGCAATGTTGCAAACATATTCTTGGAAAAAACACCTAAATACATAACTCAAAACTTGAGGAATCAGATCGTAGTTGAATGTGAAAATGAGAAATTGATATTGAAGAGATCAGATCCTATATGATTGTAAAAATTCGACCTTCTTTAATTAAACTTAATACCGAATGCCTTTGATCATTTTCAAGAACCTTTAACAATCTTCTATAAAGCCAGGTCTTTCAATATCTAGGAAATTGCATTGATTCTATGACTTAAAAAGTGATCCAAAACAAGATGCTTTGACAGCGGCGTTTATCGAAGCTTAATTATTCAGTACATTAAAGTTTATAATCATTGCTCTGCAGCGCTCGAGTTGTAGATTCGACATTATTGGATTCAGTACACCCAGGGCATGTTTCCGTGATGGTGTATTGCAATCCCGGGCTAAAGTGGTGGTACCAGTACCCCTGGTCTGCCGGAACTATAAACTGGTGATGTCATTTCACTCCTCGGCTAGTCCTTGAAATGATTTGACATGGGGTCTAACCAGAGAACTACATAATCTGGTACTACGAGTGGGCAGTTGCCCGCTAGACTTGTCCTGGCTGGTCAGGTTCCTTCGGGATCCACATAGTGGCTGTGGTTTAAACCCAAATTCGCTGGAAGAGTAAGTTGCGGTTAAAATACGGATGTACGGTGAAATATATATTTTGGGATAAGTTCGGTGCTGTTGCCGAATGACAACAGATACCCCGCAGAGGAGTGACTGTGGGACTAAACATTGCAAATTAGTTGGTGTTGATTGTATATGATATTGGATGAATGTAGGGGTATACGGACCTTGCCAACCCGTTAGAGTAAGAGTATCAGATTTTGTTTTCTATTGAATGTGTTGGATGAATAAGAAATGTGCTGGGTTGAATGGTGATGGATGAAAGGTATCTTATACAAGTGATACCATTGAATTTTCCTTCCTTGTTCGGGTATGTTCTGTTCATACCAGAATTACCACAGTGTGTCACTGTGAGTAAGAACAAAGTCTCGGCTTATTAGATGGATTCGTACTTCGGTCTACCGGTTACGTCTCTAAGTGCTGTTTCTCGCCACCGACAGAAACGAAATGTCAGCAGATCAATTTATCGCGAAACAACGATTGTTGCTTTGAAAAGCTTTGAGATAAAAAAGAAAAAATTGTGAGCAGATCCATCAAAAGTTAATTTATCAGTCTGATCTGAATATTAGTATGAACAGATCAAAGACCCTGATAATTTTGAATCTTATTTTTGGGTCTCTTTTGTCACCTATGGCGTTCTTGTAGTTTTGAGTTACGCTAGTAACTTTATGTAAGACTCATTATTCGAAATCTTAGATAAAGAGGAATCTATATACAGGTCATTCGGTTGCAGGCCTTGTTTTGGACCTACGCTGTAACGAGAAAGTTAAGTAGATTACTGAAAACCAACTTCTACAATGTCTTGCCTTCAGCAGTTGAAATCCCAATTGATCGCATAGAATCAGTCACTATAACACGAGCCGAATTGCCGCTAACATGCTTAAGTAAGA